CTAATCAATAGAAACTGCTATAATAACCAAGCAGTAGCGTCTTGTAATTATTCATTAGTTATATTATCGTGCACCTGTAACAACCTTCATAATTAATAACGAAGTATCTACTATATATTAAAATGGTAGGTTTTTAAATTGAATCTATTCGGACCGTAAGATGGTGACCTACCCTGTGCTACTGCTGTATAGTCTGCATAACATTTTTTTAAGTTAAGTGTCGTCTACTATTTATATCGGTGTTATTGTTTTGGATTTCGACTATGCGATAATAAAATAACCCAGGAGAATTTACATAGTGCCATATATTCCCAAGTCAAGCAGAACTTGTTACTAAATGACTGACAGAAATACATAATACGTATACATAATAAACACTCATACTCATTAATACAAATTACTATTTGTATAATATTTTGTGACCACGAAGTTATCATAAAAGGCAACTAGGAGAACAAAACAGTTCCGCGCAATAACAGCCTTGTAAATGAGTTGTTATAACCTATAGAAAAAGAAAAAAATATCAATCTAAATTATATAGTACAACTGATAAGTACCCAATAACTAGTCGTATAAGTTTCTTAAAATATACTTAAAAACCTCAATAATAAATTGTTTTAAACAACTAACATCTATAACATGCTCATACGAGTAGATGTGTAATAGTACCTATAGCATGACAGAGGGACCTGTATCGCGTGACCAACCCGAATCGATTGGTACAATATGAACCTGAATCATTAAAATTATTAGTCCTATATTCACATACTCTGTATATATCAAAGTATTATATATTAGATATATAAACATTCACAGTGCCTACTTTAAAACAAAGTATAAAAATATTACTATGTATATGTACCTATACATATATGTATGTTATATCTTTGCAGGACCGATAAATCTAAACTTTCTGAGAAATTCTATAATAGTAAAATGTTGCATGTTTAATTATTTATAATACACTAGATATGCCCGCGGTTTCACCTGCGTGGAATTTACAGTATATGTGTTATTCTAATGTATAAGCTGCATAACTTATTGTAAAGTTTCATCAAAATCCGTACAGTAGTTTTTGCGTGAAAGGCTAACAAACATTCGCGTTTATAAGCAAGAACTAAGATAATATTCGTATCCTTTATCATATCATGAAAAATAAATAATAAAAACTAACTAACAAATGAAATTAAAAAAGAGGTCGAAATGCTTTCTGAGGTTTATTATTATTATTATAAGTTGATCTATTTCATACTTATGTATGACAAATTTCATATCAATAGATATAGACATACATATATACATAGATACGTTTATTTAAGTACACTTCATTGCTCGATCTTTACATAGTATAAAATGAAGTCGCTTGTGCTACCTGTTCGTCGCTTCTTTTAAATCACACAACAGAATTTAATGCAGTTTTTAGCAATAGATAGTGATTCAAAAGGCAGAATTATATATTTATATACTGTACACCCGTGCGAAGACGGGGCGGGTAGCTAGTAATGTATAAAATTGGTTACTATCTCCCTATTTCCCATACTATCGAAATATAGATATGTCTGAAATAGATAAACTCTTTTTAATATTTGACTATGACATTACGAGGTTGCAGACAGCCAACATCTAATATTTATTATTTAATTAAATCATATCTATCTATACAGGTAGGTACTTAGGAAAATTTCTAATTGTCACTTATCTCATGAATTTGCACACATCATGTGCACTTTATTTGATTACATACTTATAAGCGAGACAAAAAGTGATACGTCGTTACGATAAAGCCTTCATTACAGGGCAGTATTTTCTAGTTATTAAATTTTTTTTATTGTCATGCTATAATATTTATTTTGTCTTCTGTTTGAAGTCAGAATCGTAGCAAATACTGTGTTCTCTTGTATTCTTGTATTATGCAATTGGAGACATCATATCATACGATGGAAAGATACATTGAGACTACAAACATTTATTGGACATTTTGAATCTGGATTATAGTTTAGTTTACATGACTCTTGTATTTCCTGAGTCGAATAAATACCACACTTCGCGTGCCATCAAGCTATGCTAATTCTATACCACGCTACAATGATGCTTTATTTTGCTGTTTATGAGAACAAAACCTTCAAAATTAATTTATTCACACAATTGCTTTGCAATTCTAAAATTATGATGAATTGTATGGACAAATTAATTTTACATGAAAACTGCTTTAAACTATTTTTTCTAGTTGTTTATAAAATTATACATTTATAAGAATTTACATATAAATGGAATATTTACCGTGATACATCGGAATTACATCTTATATTTAAAATTCTCGTGTCACAGTTTTCGTTGCTATACTCCTCCGAAACGGCTTGACCGATTCTCATGAAATTTTGTGAGCGTATTGAGTAGGTCTGAGAATCGGCCAACATCTATTTTTCATCCCCCTAAATGTTCCCTACCCTAATTTTTTTTATTTTAAGGCAAAACAACGGTTGCCAGGACAGCTAGTATTTATAACATTTATATATATCTGAATAACATATATCACTACGTTAGTAGATACTCATCAGCGCTCTTTCTATTTCTAATCATAAGGATATATGGGAGAATAATAATATCCCTGGACAATTTACACAAAGTCCTCTAGTCCCAAGTTAGGCAGAGCTTGTGTTATGAATACTAGACAAATGATATAAATACATAGATTTTTTTAAATACACGCATAATGTAATGTACATAGAAAATATCTCGACCGACACAAACAGTATACTCATGAAAATAAATATATGTACTGTGCGACGAATCAAACCTGCGACCATCGGAAGAAAAGCGGTGTGCTAAACCGCTAGACCACCAAGGCCGTCAAAGAATGTTAGATACACGTCTGGAATCTAACCGCTGCGCTGTTTTATCTTATTGAGCATCTTAGACGTTTCGCTGTTCATTTTAACAATAGCAATTGACATTACGATGGCCATCATAACCAATACTACAGCAGTTTATTTTTAATTATTATTGCCATTCATTGTTTGCTTGGGATCTTTATCACTCATTGACCTTATCATTCAGTTATCAGCGGACAATACAAATCTTATGATAGATAAACGGTTTTGTTATTACGTAGGTGCCTGTTGCCATACACTTGTATTGCAATTTTTACAGAAAACATAGTGGTTTTTTTCATACTTATTTCTTTATTCACATTAATGTCCTGTTAAAATAAAATGAAGAAAAGACTTTAATTTGTTAATAAAACAAATGATAGACCTCACCTTCAAATTCTTAAATTTCTACTCCTTTCCACTCTTTTCAGTTTTCCCTTGGTAGTGACCAAGGGAAAACTGACTCTGAACTGAACTCATTGTCTGTATCACTCTTTTTGTACTTCTCTGTCCTTCTCTTTCTCAGACATCTATTGACTTTTTAATTCATAAGAGAGTAATGTGAAGGAATCTCCAGAATGACTGCTGCTCGTAGGTGCAGTTTAGTAACTAGTATAGCCATGTATGATGTGGATTAATAAGTAATTATATTTCTTCCGATCTGTGTTGTTCTCGTAATCTTTTTTGTGGTTTATTTTAATATTTTTATTAGATACTAAATAATTGTTGCGGTCATAATAATTAGGTGGGGTATTTTTATCATGTCGTTGGAAGGAAACATTGCCACTCGACAACCCGGTATTCCCCTTAATACCTATATATATATATTTCCTAAAAACCCTTTTACATCATTTCTACGTCATTTATATTTAAAGAATTTGATGTATCTTTAAAGTATGCCATGATAACTGAAAAAGTGGTTTATCACACATTTATAACATATATATATATATATATCTATAGATATAGGTATTCAGATTTGTTTTATTTTTATTACTTATACATATACTAACTATTTTACGAATACATAAACACAACTATGATTTTATTTTAGTGTAAATATATGTACATCAGGACTTTTATCCCAGATAGGGTAGTCAGAATATTTGGTCAATTTGGTCATGACCACGCTGGGTATATGTTTGAATCCAATGGGTCAGGGGATGAGCCTAAAGCCGAGGCAGATGGCTAACCAACCTGGTAATCACTTGGGTTTTTATATCAATTTCACACTATTTAGTTTAGAGAATTGTGTAAACTCTGATAAAATAACATAATACATGTACGTACAAGTATATGTACGTACCTAAGGACTCATAATATGCTCGAATACCCTCGTAAACCCCATAGGACTCGCATGATCAGTCTGATATTAATATCCAACTATAGCCTGTTTTCCCATGTGTAGGAATATAATAGACTAATTGGGTATCTGAAACTGTGTTAACCTATTCTATTCTTCTGCTTTCCTGCTAGTTTATTTATTGGTACTATATCTACCTGTATAATTAAATATATAGTACATATAATGTAAATAAAACATAACTAAATCAAATTGGTAACTACATTCGACATCAGTGTAAAAATAACTAAGTATTAATAACTATCGTACAAATAATTAAATCAAATGATGTGTATAATCATGTGCATTGTGCATGTCAAAGATACGTGTGAAATAAAAAGAAAATAAATTAGATAATTTAAATATACAGAAAACAATAAAAACATTCGTAGTTAAGTAGATAGCAGTATTTATTACATTAGTACAAAAAAATCCTGCTAGTTTCTTAAATATTGCATACCTATTGTGTTTTTCATATATCTAAGAACTTGCTAAGTTATGGTTAAATAAATAAATAGTAATTATATTATTAAAATGAATTTTGCTAACTAGTAATGCGTAAACATTGCGTATTAAACGATTTCTATATACATAAATAGTATTTATAACGATTGTAACCAGTAGTTGTCATATCAGAACACCATATTCGGAATAAAAAACACTGTTATCTCCTAAAGTTTTACAATATCATTAATATAATATAAATTCTATATTAGTAGTATATAAATTGTATAAGAGCCATTAGAAAAACCCAATATAAACTAATTTATTTCATTTTCCTGTTCCAGGCCTATAGAAGATAAGAAAACAGACAGAGCTTTAGTGTTTACGCCGCTTACAAAGGAATCAAAATTTAGAAGACACATCAGGTCAATGTCAGATGTACAGAGCAGCACACCGAACAGATTACCGTTCAGATCACGAAAAGGCAGCAGTCAAATTCTAATGTACGACTCGGACACAAGGGCGAGGAGGATAAGGTCATACAACAGGCACATGCAGTCTGATTCGTCAGATTCTAGTGACTACATCGAATCGAGACGGATACTACTGAGTTTGGAGGCGAACATCATGAAACCTTCTGATTCTATGAGATTCCTCTAATTATTAATGATCTGATAGTTCTATTTGAGGCTGTACTTTCTAGTTCTATACTAGATGGGATCACATATGATTTGCAGGAGGTAGTTAATGAACACTGTACGATTTCACTTGCACACAATGATGCAATGTACCTAAAAGTATTACTTGTTTAAGTAAAGTTTCTTTAATGATTGTGTGATCCCAACGTGATACAACTATAAACATTATAGTGTTTTCCTTTTGAGACTGTGATCGAATTAGAATAGCTGTATTTGCAACTGTAGCTAAGATACCTAAGAGTTATTATGATTAAGTATTTAGTATTGTTTAGTTCGTTTTTAAGAATATTTTTATCTCCTATGAATAATTAAAATGTTAACTAATATGTATGCCATGCCATATTTTTGTTTAGCGCCAAATCAGTTGCCAAGATCGCTGAGAGCTTAGAAATCTCGGACCAAGCATAAATATAAATTATGCTGTATATACCTGAGTTAATTACAACAAATTATAATATAATATTTTTAGATTTCAAATGACAATAATGAATTTACGACCAGTGGCGCAGTTACGCCATATACCTAATTAAACCTAAGTATGTACCTACTTATACCTACATGACTTTAATACAATTTTTATAAATAGGCATGCATGTTTACTCATCTAAGATATCAATTGCATGTATTTAAACAACACTTAGGTATAGACTAAGTTTCTATTTTATGAGTAAAAAAATTAAGATATTAGTAATTCAAAATATCTTGGCATTATTTAATAAATTCTATATTAAATACCTACCCTATCATTACGCAGTTATTCATGACTTATAAATGTTAAAATACAAGTAAAATATCACTTACATACTAACAAAAAAATGTTTTAGGAAATGAGATATTTCAGAAATATTTACAATCCCTTTTCTGGGACATAGTTACAGAGTATGTATATGTATATATCTATAATTTGATCTTATATAGCTAAGTACATGTTATTATAATAGTTATGCAACTTTACGAAATTCAACCTTTACATGACCCCTTTATGAAAAAATAATGACAATCAGTTATTATTTTTTCATATGCATTATCCAACACTATAGGAATGTATATAAATATAAGCATATATATATACCTATTATGAAATAGCTACTACTACCGTACTAATACTACTACCGTTTTGTTTGTAACTACAGATTCAGTTTCTCTGTACAGAATTATATTCTTGTGATTATGGGATCGAAATATATACAGAAGGTAAAATATTAAATTTATTTACACCGAATTTGATTTATTTCTGTTGAAACCTTTCCCATAAACCTTTATATACCTAGTAGGCACCTACTAGCTATGGCTTCAATTATAAGTATATTTATTCAGACGGAATATAAACCTTATATACTTATACCTTATTACATTATAACAATTATTCTCTGCACTACCTATGGTTGATTAACTTGAAAATGCCTAATGGTGTTAAGTCCGCCAAATGTAGGTACTGTACTATATTACGTATTGTGTCCATTGAAGTTAAATAAATAAAAATAAAATATATATCTAACACAGATTCACAGCCGTCACAATGTACCTATACGTGAAGTCCGTGGTAGGACACTATTCCTAATGGCCTGTGAGCCAGCAACTGGTCAATGTGTCAAATTTCCTCCCTGTTGATTATGTCTATAATGGTTAAGGTATTTATTAAATATATTAAGAAACCTAGTGAAGGTCAACTGTGGATTGAGGAACCTGTCAAACTTAACATTTTTGTTATTAATAGACCTCATCAATTATTACTTTAATGTTTAATGTTAATTTAAATTCTTATTATGATATATATTATATGAAATTATTATAGGGTAATCTACTACTCAATAGATGGTGCTGTAAAAATGTAGACAGCGTTGTTAAATTGATTTAGTTTTAATTATTTTTTTTATAAAAAAAACCTTAATGAAGACTAAGCCTGTACTTATACATCCATACTTTCCTAGTCCGTACACGTTCAAATCCACTTATATCAATAATCTGCCTATTTCGTCTTTGTATCCTGTTTCAGAGAAGAGAATGAATCCTGACTTAGTAAGTAATAATATTCATTCATTCATAATTTAAGAGCCGCGATCTTGTCGAAGGCTCTTGCCATTTTTCATGATTAAATGAAGCATGGACAGAAATGTAACGAATTAAGATTCAAATTCTTTTACGAATGTTTTGGTTATTCTTATTTGTTTATTCGGTTAGGCTGTATGGTCTCATACCTTTGCCTATCCACTTGTGGATAAAATATACCACTACTTTGTTTATTCGTGAATTCTGTGCTGTACAGAGCACTGTTACGTAGCTGTCAATCTGTCATTGTTACATGTTGTCAACAAGTGACACTGACACTTATTGTCATTGAGTGACATTGACGTTTGTCAAAAAATGAGTATAATCTGTCGTACCATAAAAAAGTATTAAAATAATTTCATGTTTTTAAATTTACTATTACTATATATTATTATTTGTATTTGTTTCAAATATCAAATAAAAATTGATCCATTAGTTTAGTTCATATCTTGAAGTTAGCATTTATTACTTTTCAGAATAATAGACGCATATCTAATTCTTATATTTACTAATTGTCCATAATAATATTAAAGTTTAATCCATAGCTTTACGCGCTTTACCGTCTTTGTTTATCACGTTTGTGGTCCTACCTTACAATACTTTACATATGTTTTGGATTAAAAGTAACTCAACATTGAAGATTGCGTGCTCAATACCGAATTAGTACAGTTAATAGCATGAGTTAAGCAATGAGAAGGAAAAACTAATACATCGGATTGTTCAGTTTTAGTACCTTTATTGTTTTAGGTCTTGTTATCCTACTTTTTTATCATTAGTCCCATTGCTGCCGGTTGGTTATTCGTAACCGCTCAGTCGCGCTTCAGAACTTCGTAGAACAAGACTACAAAATGAAAATTTTCATAATATTAGCTTTTGTTTATAAATTAGTAGTTGCTGATCCTTTGCCCATAGTATTGTGGCATGGAATGGGTGAGTTTCTCATAATTTTACTCTATATTTTAAGATTAAAAACAAATATTAACTAATAAGATTAAAGAAAAGCAATTTGTATAGTTAATTATATTGTATTAAAAATAAATATATATCATAAAATGTGATAATGAATGGATCCAGAACAATGAATTGAATCCTTCAAATAGTCAGAGAATTCTAGAATATCCTGAAATTTTCATCATTATTGAAGATTATTCTTCAATAATTGTTAACCAATCATGAAGTTTAAGTTTGGTGTCTTGTACACTTGTTATGGCACTGCCTAGAGTCCTAGACTGTTCTAGAATGTTTGAAAATAAATTTATAAGTCTACATACCAAAAATAATTTGAACATAACTAATATTTTTTTATGACAAGTCTATATTGCATTAGTATAGTTTATGTTATAAATTGAAGATATTATATTGATGTTTGTAATTGCACTCTAGTAAACTCTAATAAATCTGTGCTAATATTATGAATTCAGTTCCACTGTTGACAATGGCTGCATATTTGCTATCTCACAAATAACAGGCTGAATTATATTTAATGTAACTTCACATAAATATAGGCTATATTTTATCTCTAAATCTTTTACAATTGATATTGCCTCAACTTTAGTGTAACATGTAAGTCATTTTATATGACAATAACTATTATGTATGGTGTTTAGGTGACACTATAACAAAACATTGTTGTTACCTAAATACAATCATCATACCAAAGGTTACCAAATGTAATTTTTTTTTATCAATAGGAGACACATGCTGTGTATCAGTAAGTCTTGGATCATTTAAATTATTTCTTGAGCGAAACATACCGGGAGTATATGTAAATTCCATAAGAGTTGGTAATAATACAATTGAAGACTTAGAAAATGGCTACTTCATGAGTCCTGAGAAGCAAATAGAATATGTTTGTGATTTGTTAGCATCAGATACAAAATTACGAAATGGATTTAATGCCATCGGTTTCTCACAAGGAAGTCAGTTCTTGTAAGTACAAATTATTAATTATATTATGTTTTATGTGATAATTTTGTATGAAGTAACTTATAGAATTTAGTTAACACTAAGTACACAATGTGATTATTTATAAGTTAATTCACTAAAGACTAATTATATTATTATTATTTGTGCTTGTTGCCCTAGAACTCCATTATTTATACATCAGTTTCTGAAAATACATTCATTATTAAAAAAGATATACTTGTGCCTAGATATTTTAGGTCCCCTAGATATTTTATTTTTATCAGTTTAGTGTGTAAAACAAATTAACTGGGAAATTTGTTTTAAGGCCATTATAGAGTGCCTTTAGAGTTGCTTCTAGCCATGTCTGAAAGTAATTTTTACAGGCAAGCTTCTCTCAAGCAGAATAATATGTATTACTTTTGTTTTATTACATAAAGATTAAGAGCAGTATTACATTAAGATTTTAATGCCTATTGAAGTTAAGTTTTTTGTTAACCAAATTGTAACATGAAACATTTTAATTATTTTAGGAGAGGAGTTGTACAAAGGTGTGGGCATCAATTGCCCCCTGTAAAAAACTTAATAACTCTGGGTGGTCAACATCAGGGTGTTTACGGTCTACCTCACTGTGGGGCGCTACAACATGAGACTTGTGATTATGTGAGGAAGCTACTCAATTATGCCGCTTATTACAGGTAATAAACATAAGAAGTAATAGCCCGCAACTTACCCTTATACTTAAACCGATTGGTATGGAACACATTAAATTTCATTTAAGTAAAGCTTACAACAATGAATTACTGGAAACAACGCCCAAATAATAAATACTCATTTCTGAAATTAGCACACGCATCCACATTACATTGATAAACTCCCAAATAATACTTTTTCTCTCTTTCATGTACAGACAGCGATAAGTTTATTTTCTATTATATGTATATGTTAAAAGCAACGTAATAGAATATATAAGTATATTATTACAGTAGTGATCCACCTTGGCTTCGCACGGCATTGAAATTATCGAAATGATAGTGTAAACATCAAAATCCGTTGTTACGTCTCGCCGTTCACTTTTTCTATAGTGATCTAGAAAAAGAAATAGACAGACGAGAACTACTACGTTATACTATCTATATATTATAAATATAATGCCCTACCTTCTAAACTAAAACAACCGCAGTAATAGGTAAGACGATAAAAACATATTGAAGTTTTAACTTGCCCATTGCCTTTATACTAGTACTACATTAGTTTGCTATGTATTTATGTATTTAGAGTATGCATGCTTACATAATATTATAATTGCAATGACAAGAGCGATCCGTCAAAAGGATAATGTAATATAGAAAGTATAAATTGGACATATAACATAAACATTGATCTAAATAGAAATCTTGGAATATAGTTAATATTTTTATTACACTTTTTTCCGGTTCCTTCACATTCACCGATCGAGACGAGTTCACACATTACAAATTTTCTAATAGCATCCAACAATTAATATTAATAAAAATGTTGACAATCTTATGCGTTACAAAGGAACACTCAGGAGAACTGTTTTGAATAGAAATAAGCATAGTTATATATGTCAAATCAAAATATAAACTAAATACATAATATTAGGCTAAAAATTATATGGAATTTAGAATATGTTTTTTAGCAAAACAACAAAATAATTGAAATATTCCATTTCTTTAACAATAGCCATTGTTCAGTATTGTTTCTGAAATTCTCAATAATAAAATTATCATACAAATGATAGTATTTTAACCTCGGACATTAAAGTAATGTTATATTATAACCCAAAGAGGCGTGTACGTTGACACTGCCGACATAATTTTGGATCGAGAACTTCTTAAAATAGCTATTCTTTTGTTTATGACTAAAAGGTAAACATAATATTAATATTTGAAAAAACAGCTCCCCCTACCCCTTGTACCCCTTTTTTTTACGAAAAAGCGCGGGTAGGATGGAGGAATATGAAATTTCTTACACTTATAGTTTACTTGCTGCTTGTAAAGTTTCGTTAAAATCCGTTAATTCGTTTTTGCCTAAAAGTGTAACAAACATTCCGCCACACTCTAAACGCGTTTATAGTATTAGTAGGAAGTAAAATATAGAAAAGTTCAGAATGTTAATATTGTTTATTTATTAACACAAATATTTGTTTGTGCGAGGAATCGAACCTGCGACTATCGGAAGTGTGTTAGGTTAGGTGCGTTAAACTGCTCGACCATCAAGGCTGTGAATGAACTAACATATCAATTAGGTACTAAACACGAAATATGAAATTAAAGTTGCTTTTATATAATTCAACAGTATAAAAAGATGCAAGACTGTGCAAACCAATTTCAATCATTAGATCGGAATTCAATAGTCGCTTGGTAGGTGGAGGCGACAGCTTCTTTGTCATTACAGTTACATAAAGAGATAGTATTGTTGGCACTTCCTTAGTATTACATCTGTAATTTCTTTAGATGCAACACATTGTTCCCGCGCTGTTAAACTTTGTGTTAATATTGTACATTGTTTATAAGGTGACATAAGTCGTAACGTACTATTTCATCTATACGTGTAAATAAAATTGAAGTATCTGTTTGTAATTTCAAATTAACAGCTTTTCACTAAATAATATAAAAATATTAAATGATCTAACAATAATTTATTTATTTATTTAAAATATGACACTCTTGTCTTTTTGTTATTGCTAATCTCTGCAATGGTTGGATCTATTTTGACGGTACTTTAATTTACAAATATTATTAAATTAAGAAATTTATTTCATATATATTCCCTAATAAAACGTACTACTGAATTCGACATAACCTGGTAAATACAGATTTTTAATTTATGTAACACGGATTTCCTTAAAAATAACATAAAAAATCTGCGCCGACTAAGCGGTAACGGTAAATAACTAAATATAAAAATTCTTTATTTAAAATGCAATGAGTGTACTATTATTCTGACAAACATAATTATGAAAATATGTGATTATGTTATAATATGTACAACGATGTCAAAAGTTATCGCCACTCATGTTTGTTATGTATTATAGGAATTAATTATTTGTGCTGTTAACTTATACTGAGATATTGTACATTGATATTTATTAAACATTCTTTAACAAACAATTAAAAAAGACGTGAATCTATATTCGATGTTTTGAGAATTTGAACTTACGAAAAGATAGATAGATAGATAGAATATACTTTATTTGCAACGTACAGTAAAGAAGAAGCACAAACAATATAACAAAAGACACATGTATCGTTACAATAAGGCGGCCTTATTGCTAAAAGCAATCAAAAGGTTGTATGTATATCGCGCTTATGTCACGACCTTGTACGAATTAAAAAATGCTTCAGTGTTTAATAGTAATTTTATTGAGGTAGGCTATAGCTATGTAAGATCATGGCGGACTCAGTGGTCTAGCGGTTTATCACGCCGCTTTACTTCCGATGGTCGCGTGTTCGATTCCTCGCACCGTGGAAACATTTGTATTTATGACTATGATTGTTTATATCGGTCTGGATGTTTTCTATGTACCTATATTATATATGTATTTCCAAAAAAAAGTATCTAAGTATTTATATCAGTTGTTTATATCATAACAGTTCTGGTTACTGTGGAACTAGATATCGCTGTGATAATTGCCCAGGGTTATGTATTTATTTATTATCATGTTCCAACCAATGGGTGCATCCTTGAAAAATGTTTTAAAAAACAGGATAATGTATATCTTTTGAGTCCTTTCTCTCTCTCTCTCGTATATGACGCTGGTTAGCTCCTGTTATATATATTATATTACCACCATTATATACCATACCTGTTCTCATAACAGAAACAGCTTGTCATACTATAAAGTTAAAACTAATATCTACTCACGTACATTAGCAACGTTTTAATTGTTTGAGCTTAGATATGTGTTTATTGACCATTAAATACACAAGAATAAGTGGGCAAATTGACGCAATTGAAGGCTAGTTTTGACACCTAGTGGCTAGTTATTATATATGTATATGCTCCTAAAGTTACTGTTACGCGATTCCAAAGATTTTACCTGTATTATTTATGTGTATATGATTTTGACTATAATTGTAATCAAAAAGTCTTGTATTACATTATATTTATACATTAGTAACTTTATTTTTCTAAAATAAAAGTATCCTAAAAACGCTACCTGCCAAAAAAAGTCCCGTCAAAATCGTTCCCGCCATTTTAGAGATTAGCCGGGATAAACAGACAGACAGACAAAAATTGGAAAAAATTATATTTTGATGTATGTACCGTATTTATATTCATATGCACGTAGTAAGCATGTAGTAAAAACTGTTATTTCAATATTATAAACAGACACTCCAATTTTATTTATACATATATTTGAAATGTAATGATTACGTTATTCGACATTGCGATGACCATAACCTGCGCTCTAAATACTAGTTCTTACTACTTAGTTCACTTCCTAACACTTATCTCTAGAAATAACAGGTAGGTATATATGCTGACATTTTAAGTCGTCTCTTAAAACTGCAATAATGATTTCATCATTCTATATATGTCAGAATGTTGTATTTATAAATATGTTCACATGTAGTTTATTTATTATTTTCATTCATGTGTCAGAATATTTTAAGGTAGGTACTATAATATTGATAGTATGTTTTTGTATATACCTATGGGTATATGTAAATATGTATATCTTCCGATTAACGGATCCTCATTACTTTTGTCTCACAGTACGGTGACTAAGTAAGAATATAAATGTATCTTCACACTCTGTTCTCAGTAGGTTTTACATGATATAATAAGCGCCGACTACCATGGTTTGGTGCGCCGACAACCGAAATTCATGGGTTGGATAGGTAGAGTAAAAATGACTTTTTTTTTTAAATACCGCTTGTTTGTTTCAGTTGGGTACAAAAAGCCCTTGTACAAGCTACATACTGGCACGATCCCCTGGACGAGGAAGCATATAAGAAAGGTAGCCAGTTCTTAGCTGACATCAACAACGAGAGAGTAATAAACAGAACCTACATAAAAAACTTGAGCAATCTGGATAATTTTGTTATGGTAAAATTTGATAATGACTCCATAGTGCAGCCTAGGGGAACGGAATGGTTTGGCTTCTACAAACCTGGTCAGGCAAAAGTCTTGCAAACGCTGCAAGAATCTACCCTTTATAAGGAGGTTGGTATATAAGCACATTTTATTTTTGACAAATAACAATAAATGTCATCAAAAACTGACCAATTTTAGTGACATTGCCTTACATACACTCAAATGAAATAACTAAAAAAATTACCCGTCGTTTTCAGTACTAATTGATTTTGGTAAGGTTTTTTATGGATGATATTGGAATCATCATCCGCCTGAACTAACGGTGTATTCAGGCGGGCCACTAGTACAAGATTATAGGATGAGCATTCAGTCAAGTTAGCATCGTAACGAATTCACGACGTACTAACCAAGATGACTTCCATGTAGCTCTTGGAAAGAATATTGACGTCGATACATTAAAGCAATAAGCATTACTAAAAATCCCATCCTCCTCCGTTGCAGTCGGATATGACTAGTCTTTAACACTTACCTCAAGATCAACAAAGACTTCTATATTTGCAACCTTAGCAATGTTTAATTCTCGGATTAAATAGGTTTATGTTGTTTATTGTCAACAAACAGTTATGGGCTGTTAATACGTTGTGAAGTAATTATGACAAAGAACCTGTTTCCTGATGAAAAGTGGACAAACGTCGCCTATAATATGAACAACAGGACCGAGATCACGTTGTCACGTGACGTTCGTAATAACCCTATATTAATAATAATTTTATGTTTATTTACATAATTCGACTCATAGGAATCTCTGTTATCGGTTTAGAACCAAGGTATTTTAGTTGAAATAACTAACAGATCAGTACGCACCGACTCATTTAAACATTATGTATTAAAATAAATAAATATTATTATTCCAGGATCGTCTCGGCCTCAAGAAAATGGATAAAAGTGGCAAGCTCGTGTTCTTATCACAACCCGGCGACCATCTACGTTTCTCCCAAGATTGGTTCATTAAAAATATAATTAACGTGTATCTAGATCCAAAGAAGTAATTGTATAGAGGTTGGTGATAATGAGATTTTAGTTTATAGTTTTCTCATTTGTGATAGCTATTAAAACAAAGCAATTAATCGTTTATACTCATAGTGTAGGAATATTGATGTTATATAATAATATATTAGATACACAGTTAAGAATCGGTGATCAATAATAACAATAGTAATAACCCTGGACAATTCACGCAGCTCCATCTAGTCCCAATATTAGTTTATGTCATTGGTAATGAACTGATAAAAAATAATTAATACTTTTGTAAATACATACATAATATACATAGAAAATAATAAGACCAATACAATCATACTCATCAATACATCGTACGAGAAATTAAGTTCGAGGTTATCGGAAGTAAGGCAGATTAGCTAGTCATTCATTATCTGAACATGAGGGAGGGATTTTATCAAGGTAACAGTACCCAAATCAATAATTAGGCAAAAAAAAAATATTAATACAATAAACTTGACGTGCATAGCTGCTAAAATAAATAAATATTTATTGATAACATTTGATAGCCATTGCTAATCTTAGATACACCTTATTCGGGTGCAGTTTTGATTGTGGTACCCATGCATTGTGATAAAATTCACATAATATTTTGGGTTTCCTTTTATTATAATGGGTACAAACAATAAGTTATACAGGCTTAGCTGTCCGATAAAAGCTACTCAATATATGCTGGAAATTTTATTCATTCTAACAACATATATTTTATGTATACCATGTATATATATATTAATATAAGGTATGTAGTATGTATAGTCGATCGATAGTATGTATGTAAGATTTGGGACTAGATTTTATTGTGTAGTATCTCCAAGTTTATTTTTTATTTTTATATTTTTAACATCATTTACATGAAAATGTGTGTAATTTAAAATCTTGCATACCGAGTTTGGTTAGATTTGCATTATTCCGTAAATTCTTGTTAAAAATAAACAATATTGAATAAGTGAACTAATTCGTTAATAAAAATATAACGTGTTATATAATAAACGGGATAGTGTCCTCGAATGTGATGATACATATGTATTATCCTTGATGGTTTCTACATTGAAACAGTCGTACATACATATGTTACTACAGTTGCTGAGGAACTGTTCTTAAATTACGTGTAATCGTCATAAATTATATTTTTTATTTCTACCGATGTGCCTACTAACTATTTACAAAAACACATGAATATTAAGTTTATGTAATAGTTTCTAGATAAAAAAGAAATGGTTTAATAATTTTGTACTAAATTAAGAATAATAAAAATAAATAAATACAAACCCAAAACAATACAAACATATCGGCTCCATTGACAATATGCTCTCTTTTCTGTATAGGTCACAATATGTGTACAGAGATGTTTAATTAGATGGCTATCACATATGTATATTAATTAAGGATGGAATGTATAATGTATATTATAGCATTATATTTTCCTGTTCTACTGAATTTACTCTATGTTTATAAGAAAAGGCTGTATGAATTTATTATCTCTAGTTATGAATAGATATTTTTTTGTATTTGAAAATAATTTGTGTAATTATGGTATATATATTATTATACATACTCATTGTTATATTAAAAAATCAAGATTGTCTTATCGAAAAAATAAACATTTATTTTTAACGATATTTCTATCTTACTGCCTAATCCATTTGAACTTCAAACAAGAAGTGGCTCACGACAACTCAATTTTTTCTTTTTACACTACTAGTGCTTATTATTATTATATATGCATACAAAAATTGGATTTCAATTATTGAATTTTACAAGGACAGGAGGATTTAGGATTCTATTAATGCTGTCTCCTTCAGCAGCAGTTTCTAGCAGTTTTCCTTTTAGTGTGTTCGAAATATGGATCATTATTATAAGAAGGATATAATCACAAATCATTACCATGTGTTATGCGTGTACCATGTGATACCTTAACGTGATGTTCATGTATATAGACTTTGTTTGCCACTTATTATTGAATAGAACATGAGGTTGTCACCCATTTCAGCCGCTAAGTAGGTGGCTTTGTGACCTGTGTTTCGGTTATAGGGTAGAATTTACAGGTATAGTAGTGAGGTACTATGACAATAGCACCTCATGAGTTGTGATAGATTTACATGATAACGTGACGTCCGTAATTCTGTTCTGTTCGTGTACATAAACGATATTTTACGATTATGATCAGCTTTGCCATTCCAATTATATAAAAAAATCACAATTAAAAACAAAGATATTTTTTATTTTTATCCCTTTTATATTACTTGTTGTTTTTTTTTAGATTTTACTCCATAACATTCTCAAGTTCAATTGAACGTTGCTTGACCGTTTCGCGGTCTGGGGTGTCCTCGAGTCTCGCTTGCACATACACCCGAACACATCGGTTGTATTTTGAACTTCGCCGTATGTATGAGGCGTTAGTGCCACGAAGTTTGTGCAGAGGGAATTTCACTAGACACTGAAGGATGCATCTCTCTGCAATTTTGTAACTGAAAAACAAATAAGAGTAGGACTGTAAATGACTTGACGCAGGATCATTCTCAAAGATGCAAATTTACGTTATTTTTGATGGACTTGTTTTGTGCTTATATGAGTTATCATATATCGTATCTGGCTATTTTATTTGCCTTAATATTTTGGCGAAAACCATATTTAGCTAGATTTGTACTTTAACATTACAGGAAGCTTGCAGTAGAGCAAAAGTCGTTAGACGTTAGTGTGCTAAAACGCGCAGAAAATAACAATTCTAAAAACTATTAATTACCGCGATAATAAAGTAGTAGCTTACCAAAATGGTAGGTATACTTACTCATATGAGTTTATGCAATCCATCCGTAAGATTTTGTATCCCTGATCGTGTGCTTGCTCCTTGGACCTCTCAGTTAGGAGCACCGCCAAACCTTGTCTGCGATACTCGGGCACTACTGTCAACATTCTAATCTGGGGAGAAAAAATTATTAGCATCAAATAATTAACTTAATTCACTGACAATTGAATTGAATTTTTATATTCTTAAAATTCTTATTCTCATTAAATAATCTTTCCTTAATATAGTCTTTAATTTAATAAATACCTACTTCATATATTTTCTGCTGTTTGAATATGTCCCATAAGTTTGGTGTCTCCTGTAGCTTAGCCGTGAAGGACAGGAAATCTTTAGTATTAGGATCCTATAGAGTACCAAACAATATCATTAATAAATAAGATAAAATTAACGGGCATGAAGGCATGATACCATAGTACTCAGGAACGATAACACAAGCGTACCATGAGGGTATAGGTGCGCAATGGATGTGTTTGCTATTGCAATTATGAGTACGTAAACATACCGAAGTACTGACAAATATTACACTATGTATATGTAGGATTACTAATGCAAGAATGCATTGAGGTATATATACAGGTATATACACAGTATACAGTGAGGTAACTAAACCACTGTTTTACTGCCTAGAACAAAGTAACAGTCCCTTAATCACTGTTCAATGAACATATAGAAATTATTTATTGTCGTTTTAGATACGTACTTGCCTGTAGAACGCATAGTTCTGAAGATTTCTCGGATCCACTGGACTGCTCGCGAACCCGACGCATATACCAACAATTTTATCGTCATCCGTTTTTGCCAACAGCGTGTTCCCTACAAAACCAATAAATGAGCTCTGCTTCGTCGTTCTAATAAACAGCACAGGATTCAGCATCTGAATACTGAATTCTGTCTTGTCAATTACTGATTGTTAGTAGGCATCGTTTCAAATTTATTATTCAAATAAACATAAGTATCTTTGAATAGTCGTATACCTAATATTTTCTTGATTATAGGTTATGCTCATTCGGAAAGCAGACTTTACAAAAAGAACGAGCAAGGGGCTTGCGTATCAGGTACTCTTAATTAAATTTTATTCATTAGGTCCATACATTCACATTTAAGATTTTATGTGAATAAAAACTGCTAAGTAGCAGGTTTTTCAAAAATAAATATAACTAACTACTTGAGTAACAAATGAATCAGTCATAGTTGTCATAGCAGACCAGTCCACACGTTCATGAGTGTAACGGGTGAGCCAACCAACACTATAAAAATACTACCTGTTATCCGCACCTTCATCTGAATTTTTAGATTGAAGAGATCAGTTCCCCTTCTATCTTCTATCTATCTTATCAAATTTCATTAAGAAGTACGGATCTTATATAGCCGATTAGTACAAATTTGTGTCAAACAGACATACACTTTTCGAATTTATATTATCACTATAGTAGGTACTGAAGTATGAATATGGACTTTATATGCAATTTAGCGGAAATAGACCGTGGCAGGATTCTACGGTACACTAAAGTTATACAAGAGATACCTTGTATAAATAAGCTAATAAGATATTCATCGAGCGCCCTGTCATTGCTCAGGTCCATACAGCGCGCTCTCACTAGCACGTGCTCGCTGAGGAAGTGTCGTTTGATGATGTCCATGGCAGGTGCATGATATTCACTGGTCACGGGAACGATTGTGAAATTCTCAAACTGTAATAATTATTTACCAAACCAGGTAATTTAAAACCCATAATTTTGATACTTCCAACTAGGACCTTGGAGAGTTCATATATTCACCGCTAAATGGGTTACCTACGATCGATCGATACCTTGTCGCATGCTAACGGGATTCAAACCATTGTTAGGTAGGTGTTAGTTAGCCTTCAGCCGATCCGTAAGTCCTTCTGCTAGTTGTAATTTAACTGTCATTAAATAGAATAAAAGCATCTTCTCTGGGTAAGAGGGTGATTGTTACTTCTTGCATTGACGTTACAATAGAAATTTATTATATTATAAATAAGAAAGTATACCGTTTTGCCTTTATGGGCTAACTTACAACCTAAATTCACCATTCAAATATTAGTACTATCAACATTCCATCATAAATCACAAAAATTAAACTGACCTTCTCTTGATTCAATAAATCTTTGATGCCGAATATACTATAACATTTTTTTACGTGTTTTAGACATGTTTTAGAAATATTAAATATTGTGAATTTAGATAACGTTATAAAAAACATTATATTTATTATTGGACACTTAAAATTTTGTATTATCTACAATGACAACTGTGATGTCGAACCAATATCATAATATAATGAAATATCTGGTATATTTCATACTGGCCAGTGTACCTATGTCAAGACATGAAATAATAGGAATAAAAAAATATTTCTATATTTAAAAAGCTCGGCTCAAGTCTGGCGCAAGTTCTTTTTGTAGTTAGGCATACATATTAAATTTTCGTTTAACTCTCATAAGACTTATAAATCATACCGAGCGTTAATTACTCTGTAGTCTTACCTACTAAACTTAGTGATTACCTACTTAAAACAAAATAGAATAACGTATGTAAGCAGTATATCTGCAACTACTGTTTTAGCACGGCATATTTGCAAGCTATTATTATATTAATATTTTATATATTAATTAAATTAAAAGAATTCTGCATCAGACAGCGCCTATCAACCGCAGTGCAGTCACGCTTTCTGACCTTCTTCGGCCATGTATCTCGCCGTGGTAATAGAACGTAGTGCAGGGAAAAGTGGAAGGCACCAGGCCACGTGGTAGATCACCAATGAGATGGACAGACCATATCAAGGCCGCAACTAAGTGCTCAATTTACGAATGTACCCGGAAAGCTGCAGTCCGCGACGAATGGAGCCGTATTACCAAAAACCTCACTCATCGTGATTCAAAATGTTCACCGCGACCACTCTGGCAAAAGTGTACCGACTAAGAAGAAGAAAGTATTAATTCACTTCGAAGGTCATGTCATATGCCGGTTCACTTTACTTAACAAATTTAGATCAAAACATAAAACTTTGAATTGGTTAATAATATGGGTTTTTCTAGGATTCATAATTGTTTAATTTATTTGCATAATTCACACTTTATTGTAAGTATTTTCGTCTTCAATAAGCATGTAATTAGAAAAAGACTATAAAATGCATTATGTGATGAAAACACCTATTGAATAATTAAACATGTTAAAATACTCTGTGATTGGTAAGAATGAATAAAATTTCCAAATAATGAATAAAATTCCTCCGTCTAGATATATACTCTTTATGAACAAGACTACAGTCAATGCGTAGGTAATCCTGTGACGTCAGTGGCACCACTCATGCACTGCTATTCCTACCTACCTAATTTCATACTTAGTTAATTTGAAGCTATTGTCCCAGTTAGATATTTATCTCTATTCCATTTTCAGTATATATTTTAATATTTGAATGCAGAAGCATACATTTTATAGATCTACCAATTAAAACAAATTACATTGCAAAACCAAAGTCGCCCATAAAGACACGGGACACAAAACCCACAATGGAGGAGCCTCGAAGACATTGGTTGTACGACAAAGCTATCTTAAGAGAAGAGTCAGATGCTGTAGTAAAATACGACAACGAAAAAGATGTTAATCTTAAAAACAAAATTTCAACATTAGTACAACAAACCCTACATGATACTGATACAAAAATCAGATCTGTGCAGCATCTCAAGACGACGTACAGACAAGAAACGCCTTACAAAATCGGTTTCATTTTGAGTATGGTGAAAAAATCTAGAGATGTTTTGAATGAGCTATTTAACGTAGCTGTGAAACACCGGGAAGAATGGAAAGCTCTAGAACAGTTGAAGATATTCGAACTAATAGTCCATACAAATGTGGATACAACAAATTTGGTAAGACAACTAGTTGAATTACATATGCAAAGTGTAAACAATACTAATTCAGCCACAGGAAAAAAATGGGTGGTGTTGCTTTGATTAAGGCTTTAATAATTGCATCATTAGTTACATAATTATTTTAAATTACAGTAAAAAATATTTCCATTATTATGGCTGTGTTGTTTCGATTATTTGTATCAACATCATTGTCGATTTTAAAACTATAAACTTTTTATGTTACCACCGACTAACACCTTTACTTAGACATGGTATGAGTTTCGTAAAAACACCGTCAGGGAATTCTGTGAAAAACAATATGTTGGCTTTAATCAACATATTGAATTTCGAATCAATGTCAAGTCTCTTTCCGAAAAAAGTTACCACTACATTTCGTTAAAAAATAATAAACACTAAGCGATGTGATTGTTTACAACTTACTTTTAACTAAAATTACGCCAGTTGTTATCAAAATGTTGTTAGGAACGAAAGAAATAAGATAGTTAATATTAGAAGAGTAGAGTAGTAGAATTAGATAATGTGCAAATATCTAATAAGTAACAAAAATTTATTAGTTTAATTGAAAAGCTTGACAACACAAGTACTTTGTATACCTAATTAAGAGGCGGTGTCAATTAATAAAAATTAAAATATTTGTTTACGGCAACGAAATATTCAAAAATATCTGTATTAATTTAACAAAGTACCTATAATAATTTTGAAAGGATACATACAACATTCATATTAAGAAAATGTATATCAATCACGTGTCAGTTTACATAATCGAAAGCAAAACAGCAAGATGCGCGAGCTGCCGTGTGTACATTTTTACACGTGTCTCTCAAACCGCACATTGTACTGCCTTAAATAATGAGGAGTCGCGTGCCATCTTTTCCAGCCGGTAATTATTTGCGGGTAGGCTGTTTTCTGACGAGGCACCTGTGCCTTGATGAGGTCGCGCTAGTGCATTAGTTGATGACGTCATGCTTCGCTGACAGCTCGAGTCATCGTTATATTAAGTAGGCACTAGCTGTTACCCGCAGTTTTGCCTGTACATAATTATTTAGTTTCCTATCTTAATAGAAATATCTATAGGTAATATTTATAACAACGTTTTGACATGGTCATGATCACAGGACAACGGTAGCCGTTATAAAAATATGCATATTACTCTTATATCCTAAACATTGCAAATGGCGAGTCTAAAGGATGCGTATTGCATAAAACAAAAGACCAATGACAATAGGGAAACTGAGAACTTTTTGGCTTATTATACAATGGTCTGTAGGTAAACGTGAAATAGAAACATTTTTGGTATAGGGCTGCACGTGGAAGCAATATTATATAATAATTATATTACAAACCACTTCACTTTATTTAAAATAATTTATATATTTATACATGAGTATTACGAAATTATACACACCTACAGCCATGTAGGTAAGATTAAATTTAAAATAACATCGCGACAAATAAATTTATTGGATTTAATTATATTACATGAAACAATAACGATAAATTATAGTAAATATTTTTTATATCATGAATTTTCATTAATCGCAATGAGAAAATTGTATCTAAATAATAAGTTACTATATTCATACTAATAATAAAGTTAGGTAAGTCATATTTTACGTGAATACGTCACAAAATTGCTATCTGTGTAGGGTTTACAAAGAACTAACATTATCGCGTAACATTCAAACATGGCGGATTAATGCTATAGCGGCTCATAGGCAACATTTGTCGGTTAAATAAACGTTAATTAAAAATACAAAAACCAAATTTTCAGGCCCCAAAAATTAGGGCTACGGAGTATGGACCTGCCTAGGTTGCATACGGCGGGACTTAGTCCGCCCCTGCAAACACATAAAAATAGTAGATATCCAACTTAGAACTACTTTATTCTTAATTCTCTTATATACCTACTGCTTAAAATGTTATCCTTTATTTACGTAGACAAGTCATTTATTTATGTACCAACCCTATTGCGTTATTATACAGAAACATTGTGATTGTTAATTGATCATTGTTTCGGGAGTTGCTTTAAAATATGAGTAGACTGGACAAGCAGTGAACATGAGAAATGTATGGATATGTAATTTATGAAGAATGTGATTTTAGTAATTTCTAATCGTGACCATAAAATGCTACTTTCCTACATATTTTTAGCAATTTTGTAATTATTCACTGAATATACGCTCGGCACTAACATGAAAAAACCAGAATAAGGCACCTCAAATTCCGCGCAAATTGAACTTTTATAATAAATATATATTTGCGTCTATCATCTATTTGTATGGCATGACAGCTGTTTTACTGGGTTGCTGCTCACGGTTTACTGTCGTACTTCTGTACGATGTTTACAGTACTTAATATTAAAAAATACCAGATGATTGCAAGTATTGACTACATAGGATTGAGTTTAAATTTAAAAGTTAATAAGCAAAATTGCGAGGTGTATGATTTGGTTTTTCTAAAAGTTCGCATGGTTTGTATGGTTTTAAATATCATTCCTAGGTATATGAAAACATTCGGTTCGATTAGATTAGATAGAGATTAGAGAAAAAAATCACATAAATGCAGAGAAATCTTAGGATGATATAAAAATATTTTTTATTACTTAAAAGAAAATAATATTCAACAAAATAACGGTAAGATCCACTATGAGCATAACGTCACTTATATTTATATGGCGGACGCATGGTTCTGGCGTCATGGCGCCGACCAACTCGCCCAAATTCCCCACACCTACCGCGTGCCACTCGTGTTGGTACTTACGACTTACACTTATTAAATAATAAAAATTTTATCCTTGGACAATACTCATCACGCCATCTAATCGCAAGCTAAGCAGAGCTTGTGCTTAAGGTACTAAACAACTGATCGAATACCTAGATATTTTTTTGTTGTAAATACATGAGATACTTACATAGAAAATACCCAAACCGATACAAACAATCAAACTCACTCAATTTATAGATACATAAATTCTTTGTATGAGCTAAATATGTATGTTGCTGAGCGTAAAACTCGGGACGGCAAATTAGTGACTGATGACTATTTTATTAGTAATGAATAGGTACATACTAAAAAATTGCGCTGGTATCCCTCCAATCGATCCTGTATCGAAATTAGGAAGGCCTGAATCGAGAGTTCAACCCCTAGGAGTGCCTTCAGACTAAAATCCTATCCGTTATCCTTCAGCCGCACTATAAAATCTTCTACGAGTTTGGAGTACCATCTCCACTCGCCCCCTATCGTCCGGTGAAGCTGTAAACGTCAGCTGCTATCAACAGCATCAGAGTTGTCCGTAAAAAATCCGTTGTCATCATAGCTTGCTAGTAACTTCGCTTCTAGCAACTTGACTACAGAAATAGGTGCGACCGTGCCGCTCAT